CCCACAGAATAGATAAGGAAGTGTAATTCAAAAACTAAAGCTCAAGATGAGCTCAGCAGGGTGTGCATACCTTTAGTTCCAGCATCTGTAAGGCAAAGGGATTGGCAAGGGATCTCTGTGTGTTTGAGGCTAGCCTGATCTAGATATCCATTTCCAGGCCAGCAAGGGCTACATAGTGAGATCTTACCTAAAACAAGACAAACAAAACAAGAAAAACAAACAAATGAACAATAGAACAACAAAAACCTACAAACTAACAAAAAGCCCAAAGTGGATGGTGTTCTGATTAGCAATGCCTGAGGATGTCCTCTGGCCTCCACAAACTTAGGCACACATTTACTTGCACACAAATTCACCTACACACAGATAGATAAATCATGCAAGGTACCTTACACAGTGGATCTGTCACCACATGTTTACCCAGTCCTCATCCTGAGTAAACATGGCCTCCCCTGGCCAGACTCTGTGACCCTTAGACTCCAGTTCCTGATAGTGTCCCCAGAATTCAGTCTCTGATTTTATACCCAGTTGTGTTTTCCCATGACAGTGGTGGCAGAGAACAGGCTCAACCTTTCCTATTTCTGTCTGAACCATCCAATTCCAGAAACTTCTCTCTAATAACGCACAGTGCAGCCACTGTGGGCCCTGATCGAACAGATAACCTTATTGATGAAAACTGTCCATCTGTCCACACTTCCTGTCACACCACCTACCCTCCCACTCCTTGATTTCTTTCCCTTAGTGTCAAGGTACACATCCCAGATGGAACTCCAGAGTTACCTGTCCAGACTGGGTCCCGGAGAGAGTGGAGGAGATGCTAGAGAGGGTGGAAGGATGGCGGCTGGTGGTGTAGACAGGACACTCAGGCTGCACCTGAGACTTTACATTAGCTCAGTTGCCCCACCCCCATCTGACCTCTTCTTTCTCCCTAGGATGACATCATCATCTTCATCTCCCTCATGTGCTGCCAACCTCAGCATGGAACCTCCCTGCACCCCTGGCCAGGGGAACCCTAGGAAGAGACTCTGTACTGTACTAAAGGCCCAGTGAGTGGGGCTGGGTGACCAGCTCAGTCTCCTTCATTTTTGTTAGGAAGAATCCCAGTTTCTGATGATTTTTAGGGTCACAACTAGAAACCCACGTCATTGAGTGTGCAGTCACAGAAAAGTCACAGAAACTGAGGAACACCCAGTTTCTTCTTCAACATTGTATATGTTTCTAGAAAAACAACAAACAGCCAGGTATTGGTGGCACAGGACTTTAATCCCAGCACTCAGGAGGCAGAGCCAGATGGATCTCTGTGAGTTCAAGACCAGCCTGGTCTACAGAGTGAGATCCAGGACAGGCACCAAAACTACACAGAAAAAACCTGTCTAGAAAAACCAAAAAAAGCTGGGTAGTTGTGACACACGCCTTTAATCCCACCACTTGAGGGAGGTAGAGCCAGGCAGATCTCTGTGTGTTTGAGGCCAGCCTGGTCTACTACAGAGTAAGAATCCAGGACAGGAACCAAAGGTACATAGAGAAACCTTGTCTCAAAAAACAAAACAAAAAAGAAGGAAGGAAGGAAGGAAGGAAGGAAGGAAGGAAGGAAGGAAGGAAGGAAGGAAGGAAAAAGGAAAGAAGGAAAGAAGGAAAGAAGGAAAGAAAGAAAACTAAAAGAAAAGAAAATGACTGTTTTTGTTTTTGATCTGTGGGACTTAGAGATGGCTCTTTGCTCTGCTACTCTCCCTGGACTTCTGGGAGGGGGGTTGGTTAGGAGAGACACTGAGATGGGTTGCTAGGAGTAAGACATTTATTAAGTGGACAGGTAGAAACCAGCACAGGAGGGCTGTCAGGACCAGAGAAAGACAAGATGACCTGGGTCCTGAGGAGAGGACATCAGAGCCCACAGGGCAGAAGTGGGGGTTCTCTTCTTGTATCTGTGCAAGGACAGGATGTTTCACACACAAGCCTGCAGCCATGCTCCCTGATTCCCAGGCAGGAGGCAGGGAAGCAGGGAGATGCTGCATGTGTGACAACCACATGATGTAAAGTGACCTCCCTGGTGAGAGATCCTGGCCCCTGGAGTCTGTTAGCTGGGGACTAACAGACAATGTCTCAGCAGGTGCCTGTGGGTGACCCTGAGAAGGAGAGGACAATTTTCCAGAGTCAGTTTTCTCCTTGTACCCTTTGGGTCCCCAGAATCGAATGAATGCATTTTATGGGGCTTTGCTGCAAACACTTTTTCCCCACTGGGTTATCTATGTGCTCCCCACTTTTATTTTGTTCGTTAATAAGTAAATTAAAAATACTTCATTTAAAATAAATTTAGAAAAGTTATTAGCATGATTTATCCCCTTTAGGAATCCATATTATTTTTTTCTAATAACTTTTTTTTTATTTTAAAAGAAGTTTTTTTCTTCATTTTACATACCAATCCTTGTTCCCCTCCTTCCTCTCCTTCTGCCCTCCCCACCTCCCCTCATCCCACCTCCCATCCACTCCTCAGAGAGGGAAAGCCCCTTTTTAGGAGTCAACAAAGTCTGGCATACTAAGTTGAGGCAGGGCCAACTCCCTCCTTGCCATGTCAAGGCTGAGCAAGGAATGCCATCCTAGGGAGTCTATTCCAAAAAGCCATTTCATGCACCCAGGATAAGTCCTGGTACCACTGCCAGGAGCTCCCCAAACAGATCTATCCACATAACTGTCACCCACATTCGGAGAGCCTAGTTCAGTCTCATGCCTGTACCCCAGTTGACAGGCCAGAGTCCACATGTTCCCATCAGCTTGGGTCAGCTGCCTTTATTTTCCCCGTCATGATCTTAAGTCCATTGCTATTAAGAGATATTAATGACCAGTGCTTATTTATTCTTGTTATTTTTGGTTTTATTGATGGTGGTGGTAGTGTTTGTGTGTTTCCTTTCTTTGTGCTTTGTTGATGTGAGGTTTTCTATTTCCTGTGTTTTCCTGGTTGCAGCTCACTTCCTTGGGTTGGAGTTTTCTTCCTAGTACTATCTATAAGGCTGGAATATCTTGATTTCTCCGTCTATGATGATTGAAGGCTTTGCTAGGTATAGTAGTCTGGGCTGGAATCTGTGGTCTCTTAGTGTCTGCAGAACATCTGACCAGAACTTCTGGCTTTCCGAGTCTCTATTGAGAAGTTGGGTGTATTGGGTATAATTCTGATAGGTCTGCCTTTATATATTACCTGACCTTTTTCCTTTGAAACTCTTAATTTTCTTTCTTTATTCTGTGTGTTTAGTGTTTTGATTATTATATGGCAAGGGGACATTTTTTTTTGGTCCAGTCTATTTGGTATCCTGTAAGCTTCTTGTACCTTCATAGCAATGTCCTTCTTTAGGCTGGGAAAATTTTCTTCTATGATTTTGTTGAATATATTTTCTGTGATTTTGAGCTGGTATTCTTCTCCTTCTTCTATCCCTATTATTCTTAGGTTTGGTCTTTTCATGGTGTCCCAGATTTCCTGGATGTTTTGTGTAGCTGGAGTTTTCTTTCCAGGTCCCGCCAAGCCCTGGCATTCTGACAGCCCACTTATAAAATAAACACACAGACACTTATATTATTTAAACTGTTTGGCCTAATGACTCAAGCTTCTAGCTATCTAGTTCTTACATCTTAAATTAACCCATTTCTATTCATCTAAAAGTTGTCACGTGGCTCATGGTTTACCAGTATCTTAACATCTTCTCATGGCGGCGGCTGGCAGCATCTCCTGACTCTCTGCCTTCCTGTTCCCAGAATTCTCTTCTCTGCCTGTCCTGCCTATACTTCCTGCCTGCCTACTGGACAACCAGCATTTTATTTATACAGAGTGATATCCACAAGAGTTTTGTGTTAAGAATTTGTTGGATTTAACATTTTTTTTGACTGATGAATCTATTTCCTCTATCATATTTTCAATGCCTGAGATTCTCTTTTTCATCTCTTGTATTCTTTTGCTTATGCTTGCATCTGAAGTTCCTGATCATTTACCCATATTTCCCATTTTCAGAATTCCCTTGGTTTGTGTTTTCTTTATTGCCTCTACTTCCTTTGTCCAGTCTTGAACTGTTTCCTTCACCTACTTGATCATTTTTTCTTGGCTTCCTTGGCTTTCTTAAAGGGATTTATTGATTCCTTTCAATTTTTTTGTTTGTCTTTTCCATCACTTCTTTAAGAGAATCTTTTATTTCCTCTTTTAGGGCCTCTTTTATCTTCATAAAGTTATTTTTAAGGTTGTTTTCTTCTCTTCTTGCCCATTGGGGTGTTCAGGTCTTGCTGTTGTAGAACCACTAGTTCTGGTGACACCATATTGCTCTTTATGTTGTTGTATGTGTTCATACAGTGCTGTCTACCCATCTCTTTGCAGCTGGAGCCTGTGGCTCCAGTGGTGGTTGCTCCTCCTCCAGGTGCAGCTGACCCTGGGGTGTGCTGATACCACAGGGGATGGTTGGGGGTGTGGGAGGCTGCATCTGGGTCTCTGAGGCTTCAATGGGTGGGGGTGACACATAGGATGTGCCTCTGGAGTGTAGAACCTAGAGAGCAGGGCTGTCCAGTCCTGCTGTGCAGACACTCATGTCCTCCTCCAGGTGCAAATGGTTCCTGTGGCAGCTCCTCCTCTCCACATTATTTTTTATGACATGGTCTCCAATTGGCCTGGAAGTCAGCAATTAGGCTAGACCAGCTGGACAGACAGCTTCACGACTCTGTCTGTCTGTTGCTTGTCCAGCACTAAGATTATAAATTCCTGGCTTATACTGTGGATACTCCCAATAAAAATTCATGTCCTCTTGCCTATGGGCAAGGCTTTTCTGACAGAATCATCTCTCTGCTCCCTTGCATGCCTCTCATAACAAACTTCCCGACATAGCCCCTCACCTGTTTCATGGGATGACAGCCTCTCTCCTGGCTGGGGTTCATCTTTAGTCTGCTGACCTGTAGGAGAAGAAACAGTGTCAGTGTGGCAGCCATGCTGATCCTCCATCTGCCTCTCAGCTCTTCTCTGTGTTCAGACAACATCAGGGGGCCAGGGCAGCAAACAGCTCTGCAGCAGACATTCAGGGACAGCTCTGAGAGTCACCAGGACCTGAGGACAGTCCTCAGCTGTCCTTCTGCACAGCACAGGCAATCAGAGGACAGCTCTCCTGGTCCTTTGTCCCTTGTCCATGTCCTTCTCCCTCTGCTTCCTTCCCCTGCCTTGAACCCATGTCTCCTCCCTGCTTTCCCTGCTCTGCACTCACCACGCCTCCCTTTTGTCTCCCTTTGGCTCTCTAGCTCTCCCTGTGAGTGCAGGCTGCTGCCACCCTGCAGATTCAGTCTCAGGGTTCGAATCCCAGTCAGACTTCTGCTGCCTCTCAGGCTGCTGCTCTCCAGCTCTCAGATGCTCCTCTTACCTATTGGAGGTCTGAGCCCTTCTGAATCCCAGGGGCCACATCTTCAAACATTATTTCTGCTTTCTGTTACACTCCACTCTCTGCTCATCTCTCCTCCTGTCCTGCACTGTTCTAGTCACCATGGCTTTAGATCTGCTCTGAACACAGTCCACACACTTGGCTCTTGTTTAGTGTGAGCACAAGGTCTCAACAAGCCCAGGTTGACCTTCAACTTTCTGTGTATCTGCAGATGACCTTGAACTCTTGATTCTACTCTCTGTCATTCCCAATACCTGGATGAGGGTGTCCCCTACTGTGTCCCCATGCTGTTTCTTCGAATCTTTGTTAATTTCAGAAGACGATTCATTTATTTATATAAAATTCAATTGAGATTTGAATTCAGATTGTAATGATAATTAGTGTTTTGCATTGTAAGGACTTAATGTATAAAATTTTCCCTTATGCAAAAAAATTTTCCGTCATGCAAATATTCTTACATATTTTAGTATTTCCATATTTTTAATTTATTTTTCATCAGTATGTACATTGGCATGTGTGCACACATGTATGGATGATTGAGAGGATGCTTATGAGAAATTTGTTATGAGAGGGATACAAGGGATCTAGAGAGATGATTCCCTCAGGAAAGCCTTGCACAGGCAGGAGTATGTTGGGTTCTGTCCTGAAGGAGTTTTCACCTATGTTTTTGAGACAGGTCTGTCGTTGGCTTCTCACTGATTGGGCAAGGCTGGCAGCACAGTCAGAATCAAGGATCCTACAATCTCTGCTGTCCTCATGTCTGCCAGCATGGCCACCATTTAAGTGGGTCCTGGGGATGGAACCCGTGTCCTTGTGTTCCTGGGTGAGCACTTTGCCCACTGAGCTATGTCCTGGCTGTTGTGTAACTTCTCAGCACTGTTCTGTTTTTAGGGTACAGATCTTTCACCTCCTTTGGTGTGGCTTCTTCCCAGACATGTTCTTCTCATTTGTGGATTTATTATTCACCATGGTCTTAATGTCTGTTTTAATACCATATCCTCAACTCAAGTAGCTCTATTCAAGTGAGCTGTTACCCCAGAGGCACATGCATGTCCCTTCAATCCCTTAGCACAGGCTCTGTGTTCATCTGCACTTGCTCCTCTGATTTGCAGCTGGGATTCTAAGGAAGGAGGTGCAGATTCAGTCCTGGTTGAGCTCATCCTTCTCCATGTCCCACAGGTGAGAAAACACAGAGGGGAAGCTCAGGTGAGGCCTGTCCTGGACCACTTACCTTTGCTTCTCCAGAGGAAGACCATCAACACACAGACGGGGGTTATGAACACAGCCTTGGCCACCACCACCCCGACTGTGGCTCCCAGGTTCACAAGATAAGAATGCCAACGGTTCTCTGTGTTCTCCCGGGCAGCTGTGGTGACTGCAGAGGTGATGATGGAGGGGCTCTGCATGGTGGTCCTGATGGCTGGGGAGAGATGAGGAGTGAGCAGATCCCCCCTGCAAGAAGGAGTATGGTGATATATTGTGTACCCCAACATATAGTGTACCCTAATAAATTTATCTGGGGATCATAGGAAAGAGCCAGCCACTAGATTAGACACAGAGGCCAAACAGTGGTGGTACACACCCTTAATTCTGTCACTGAGGAACCAGAGATCTGTCTAGATCTCTGTGAGTTCAAGCCCATATTGGAAAGGTGGCACTTGCATTTAATCCCAGCACTTGAGATCTCATGCCTTTGCTACCAAGTATTTGGGATGCACACACGTCTTTAAGCCCAGCACTTGGAAGGAAGTAAGCTGGCAGGGCAGAGAAATGTGTGTATGAGGCAGGAGTAATCGAAAGTCTCTCTCTGGAGACTGAGGATTTGGTAAGGTAGGCTTGGTTGAAGCTTGTTATGTTTCTCCGATCTTTCAGCTTTCACCCCCATATCTGCCTCTAGGTTTTTTTTTAATTAATAAGACCTTTTAAAATTCGTGTAACAAAGAAAGGATGGGGTGAGTGTCACACCTTGTCTCCTCTGTGGGATGTGGGATGGGGACAGCGGTTAGAAGTTCACAGAGGGGATCACATCCTGAAGGCTGAGACTCCAGGAGAGCAAGCTCAATGTTCACTCTCCACCTGTCCTGGAGCTGTGTCCTCAGATTGTCATCTGGTCACAGACAACTAAGCCACAGATGTAGGTAACATGCAGACATGTCTCAGATCCACAGAGTGCTGCCTTAGAACCCGAGTTTCATCCCTAGGAGTCATGTAAAGAGCTGGATGAATTTGCCATGGTCTTTAATCTTAGCCCTAGCAGCAAAGGCAGGAGATCTTTGTGAGTTCAAAGCCAGCCTCGTCTGTGTAGAGAGCTCCACACCAACCAGAACTGAGTGAGCTGAGATCCCAGTACTGAGGAGGTGGAGACAGGCATGTACATGGGGCTCACTGACTAGCTAGCCTAGTCTACATGGCAAACTTGAAGCTGGTTAGAGACCCTGTATCAAAAATAAGGGATGGACACCTGAATTTATCTTCTAGTCTCCACATGCACACTATGAATTGCAAGCATTCACAAACACACACACACACACACACACACACACACACACACACACACACTCACACACCTGAATTAACAGACCCACATGTTCACACACACACACACTCAGAGTATATAAAAATATATAACAAAAATAAATAATTTTGTCCATAAATGTACAGCTCAGTGCAGGTCAGAGTACATCCATTCTCTCTACAAACCTCACTAAGGTTAACTTCCACCCCATTTACCTATTTGGAAACACTAGACCAAAAGTTCCCAACCTGTGGTTTGCTACAAACACAGTTATAGAATATAAGATATCCCGCACATCAGATATTTACAGTATGATTCATAACAGTAGTGAAATTATAGTTCTGAAGAGGCAATGAAAATAATTTTATGGTTGGGAGGTGACCACATGATGAGGAACTGTATTAAAGGGTCTCTGCATCAAGAAGTTTGAGAAACACTACTCTAGAACTATGAAACAGCTCCTTTCTCTCCCTTCCCGGAGCCCTGGCAGCTGCTGGTTGACATTACATCAGGTCACATTGCAGCCATAGAGACTGCACAGAGAACCCGACTGCTGGATGGGGTGGCCCAGACACTGATCTCAGGACCTCAGAGGCAGAGACAGGCAAATTTCTGTATGTTCCAGAACAGCCAAGGCTAAATGGTGAAACCCTGTCATAGCAACTAAAACACCAAAGTATAAAAAAGAGCCATAGAGCAGGATTGTGGTCAAGGACTACACACACAGTCTTCCAGCTTCTGTAGGGCCCTGTGAAGGGACAAGGGTTAATAGTCACACAGTGTTCCACTCTGTTCCCAGTTACTTCTGCTGCAGAGGAGAGGCAGGGATCAGAAGACAGAGCAACCCCACCATGAAACGGGGACGTTATTTCCCAAGAGCCTTGGAGCTTGTGTGGGAGAGGTGAGGGCAAGAGGGTAAGGAAGGAGAGAGGAAATTGTGAAAAGGGGAGGAGACAAGGGAGTGGGTAGGGAGAGGTAAGGGATGTCTCCTGGGGAGTTAGGAGGGGAAATGGGGGTGGTGGTGCTAGATGGCAGTTTACATATGGATCATAGGACACCAAGCACATCCAACGGGCACCTACTGTTGCTTTGGTTGAAGTTGTGTGGAGATGCTCCCTACAGAGACTCATTGGAGCCCCGCCACAGGACCTAATGGATCAGCTACAGCCTGGAGAAGTTAATCCACCTGAGGTCATGGGGAAGGGGAAGTGGCCTGGACTGCAGTGTTAGTTTGGGACAGAAAGGGGGTGAACTAGGAGGCAGAGCATGCTGAGGTCTAGAGAGGGGGTAGGATTCCATCTTATCAGAGAATGGCAGACAAGGTCAGAGGGGCCAGCAAAAATCTGTCACAACCACAAGGTAAAGATCCTGTTGTCAGAGGCCTGGGCAGAGGCAAGGGAAAGGAGTATGAAAGAAATCTCAGAGTTGTGGAGCCTGAGGTGACATCTAGGGGACAAGGAACCAGAGGCATCAAAATCTGAGCCAGGGTGACTCACCAGAGGAGATGATGAGTTGAGTCCCAGCAATTGACTGCCAACTCTTCTTGCCTTCTCTTGTGTTCAGCATAATTTTACAGAAATAAGTGGTCTGGTCCTTGGTTTTCAAGTCCAGGATTCTGAGAACTCCAGATGTCTGAGGCTGTGTCCAGTTCAGGATGAGCCGGTTCTTGAAATGCTCATGTATGAAACCCGAAGAAGAGTTGTAGATATAATCCCCATGGAAGATCTTCCATCTCCAGAGAATCCTCATCTGTGGATCCTCTGCCAACTCCCAGGGGAAGTAGAAGGAGAAGGGGATCTCCATGGAGCTACCCTGGACACCAGAGAGTCGGGCTGGTTGGTTGACCCCAAAGGCATTTAATTTGTTGGATCCTGCAGAGTTACCTGGGAAGGATGGGGAGAATCTGAAAACACTTCAGGGGATGGAAAGGACAACCCAGAATGTCCCAGCCTTCACCCACAGGCTGGTGTGTGACACAGGGCAGAACTGTCCCTATGGCTGGGACAGAAAAGATGGGAAAGTTTGGGTTGTTTCTTCTCTGAGGTATGAGCTCTCTCTTGGGGCACAGCAGACTGCCTGCCTCCCCTAGCAGTCACCTGTGTGCATGACAGTCCACTCTTCCCAGCCCCACTGGTCTCTCTTGTGGTTAAGGCAGAGACCCTGCTAACAAGGTCCCCACCACTCACCAGTTTGCAGACATGCAGCTGACTGCAATAGAAGTAGTATCCAAGCCATGACGCGATTCCCTCCAGGAAATGAGACAAGCGGAGTCATCAGGCAGGAGAGCAGCCTCTGTGACAGGCCCTGGGGCGTACAGGAGTCAGGGGAGAATCTGGGTAAAATGACCCACATCCCCTCAGCATTCTCCTTTGGAGGACTGACTGGGGGCAGGATCTCCCCATCTCCACATCTTTGTGATCTGCAACTTCCTTTATCATTCTGGCTTCTTCTTTCTCATGTTTCAGAAGATCCTCCCTGTGGTCACAGATAATGGGGCCATGCTCTTGAGCCCAGCCCCCTTGTTTGGCTGGAAGATATGGTCTTGACCTCACCATGCCAGACTCTCCTCTCTTGCAGCTTGACCTCCTGGATGCCCAGCCTTTCATTTATACCGTGCTGTCCCCTCTCATTCCCTCCTTATCTCTGCCTCCCCTCCCCACTCTCCCTTACCTTCTCCTATCTTGCTGGTTCTCTGTGTGTCTCAGCTTCTCTCTCATCCCAAGGAAGAGGCCACCTGGACCAGCACATGCCTTTCAGGGAGAGAAAAGCTGACCCATCTCTGACCAGCTGAGTCCAATGCTCAGCTAAGAGATGCTGATGACGGTGGTGCTGGAGTGGATGCTTCCTCAGCCCCCAACTCTAGAACGTGGTCCCTAATTCTGCTCTTTGCCTCCTTCTACTTTCCTTCGACCCCTCACATTTCCCTGGCTGAACCAAAGGCTGGTGGACTCTCACTGTCCTGGGCTGCTCCGTGTCTTTCAGTTCACAATGTCCCTAACTTTTCTAGGTAACAGTCTCCATCCCTAGACATGGGTTCTAAACCTTATCCTGAGCCTTTCTGCACTCCCACCCACAGAGGCTCAGGCCATGCCATCATCACATGGCAGTTCTGCTCAGCACAGAGGTGTCAGCCTGGCTGTAAGACATCACTCAGCCCTACCTCAAAGGCCAGGGACAGGTGATACCTTCCACTAAGCTCTAGAGATGACTTTCTCTACCTCTTGTCATTCCAGAAAATTCTATGTATTAATCGAGCGAAGAAGGCTCAGAGCAGCAATGTGTTGCTCATGACATGTTGCCTGGTACATCTCTGAGAATGGACACATTTAGACGTGAATGAAGATGAGACATGAGAGGTGGGGGCAGAGGCTGTGGTGACCTCATGGCTGGTTCTGTAGAGGGGCATCCCACCCTTCCCCATGACATGGTTCCATCAGTTCTCCAAAGGGTAGGAAGACAAGATTGCAGCAGAGGAAGTGGCATCATTCTCCCTGAGTGACATGTGCAGAGGTGACTTCCCATTTCCTCACATTCCTGCACTGATTGCCTTCTCCATGCTTCCCTGCAAGTGGCTGTGCAGCCGCCTCTGTCACATCTGCTGTCTCTGCCTTCCTCACAGTCCCCACAGTTCCCATGGTCCTCAGATCACTTGACCTGAGCCAGGCACAAACTGTCAGGGCCTCACTCCCAGCTACACAAGGACACTTCTGTATTCATTGCACCTTTGGACAGGCCAAGGCACAGAATCTTTTTTTTTTTTCAAGACAGGTTTCTCTGTGTAGCTTTGGTGCCTGTCCTGGAACTCACTCTGTGGCCCAGGCAGCCTTTGAACTCACAGAGATCCACCTGCCTCTACCTCCTGAGTGCTGGGATTAAAGGTGTGCGCCACCACCCACAAGCAAGGCACAGAATCTCAAGGATGAATTGGCCACAGATGTATAGTCAGTCAGGACAGGGCACAAGGCTATTGTACTTTTCCAATGGCTTTTTTTTTTTTTTTTGTGAGGGTGGTGTCTCATGTAGCCCAAGCGAAGCTCCCAAGTGCTGGGTGACAGTTGTGCCCCGTTTGTGCCCCATTATCTCCTGCTGGATATAAAACCTAGCGTTCTGTGTGTGCCAGGCAGGTAAGCACTCTACCAGATGAACCACGTCTTTATCCTCAGTGAGGTCTGAGAGGGGGCCCTCCTGCTCATGACTACTCACCTCCAGGTTTTATCTGGCTCTGCCCTACTATCTGAGGTTTGTGAGTAAAACTTCACCAGTTTCTAAGTCACCAAGGAGGGGCTGGGTCTGATAAGACTGCCATATGGCAGGTGATGGTCCCCAGTCTTTTTACCAACAGGCTCTAGTGGGTTCTCCAAGATCCCAGGTGCCCCTTGTACTCAGCCTCACTGCTGCCACCTGCTGGGCCCCGAATCCCAAGTCCTGGGCTTTGTTCTAGTTTCAAGTTCTCTGTGGAATGCCCATAGGGTCTAGGCTGTGGGATGATTTCTGTCAAGGACACTGTAATCAGTCTCCTGTAATGACAACCATGTTTCCACTAACAGCAGTGACTGGGCCCTGCAGCCATGATGCTTTCAGAGGGGAGGGGCACTTTCTGTGGAAGAGCTGCCTGGGCTTTGGTGTGCACACAGGGAGCTTCTGCACACATGTGACCATGGGGAGTGTCAGACTGCTGTGTGAGAACCTGGCTGCTGCTCAGGCTGTATCAGGAGTGTGCCCTGTCCCCACAGAATAAATAAGTAAGTGTAATTTTAAAATTTAAAAACCAAGGTGGGGTACGAATAATGGTGTATACCTTTAATTCTAGTATTTTGAAGGCAGAGGAGAAGCAAATGGATCTATGTTCATTTGAGGTTGTTATGTCTCCATTGTGGGGACCCCAAAAAAACCACCATGGGCACCAAATTTGTAAAATCAAGGACCCTTTGTTTCATTCAAGCTCCAAGCTTAGTCTCTCTGTCTGTCCTGACACAGTGGTGAAAACAGAGACCCCTGAGCCTGTGCAGGGTGGGGTGGTTATCATAGCAGCAGTTTGATGAAGGGGTTTCTAGGGTTCGGGACCCTGATTGGCTGACATTTGTCTAGGGGTATAGGTGTGTCCTGGGGATGTTTGTAATGTAGTATTCTCCCTTAGATGTTGGCTCTCCCTGGGTGGGGTCAGCTTATGGCTTTTCCTGGATCCAGGTATTGCCTACCAGTAAGCATGTCACAGAAGCTTGTCTGTACCCCTAAACTTGTCATGGCAGCTGTGTGGTCAAGCTGTTTTGGGGCCCCCTCATTCCTCCCTTCACAAGTACCAATGACAGGACTCAATCATGTGTCCTATCTGTTCAATGGTATTGGGAACTAAGAACTATTAGCTAACATATTTTTCTAGGGTGGTGAAATCTGTATCTATTGCCATTCTTAAAGTCCTGTAGTTCTGAGCTTTGAGTATAGTCAGATTATAATCCTGAATGATTTATATAGAAATGATAGATTCTTAAGGCCATATGATACCTCTTTGGTTCTGCAGAAAGAAGGTCAAGTGCCTTATCTTACTGCAGAACCATTTTAGTTAATAAATTCATCAATTGAGAAACTCTGATTCTATTTTTCTGGTATGACAATGGTCATATAGTCAGCCATTTTTCCCCTATGCCAGGGAGTTTCTTTTTGACCCAGAATTTCAACCTATTTTGGGAAGGGAGCATGGGACGACACATTCTCTTCTGGAACTTCTTTAAGCTAACACTGGGGTGCTGTTGTCAAGGCCCAGAAAGGCTGAAAGGCTAGTCAAATGCTGGGCAATGGGGCATTTGTCAGGAGCATGTGGTTATCTGACCCAGCTGTTGAGACAGGGATCAATCACATTAGCTGTGCTGGTCCACATCTGCTCTCTACAAGTCCAGAGATCATAGCAGCAGTTTGGATGAAGGGATTTCTAGGGTTCAGGACCCTGAATGGGTGGCAGTGAAATCAGCAACTGAAGCTTGGAGGTGACTGCCAGCCAAGTGGAAACCTGTTGAGACAAATTTAAAGTAGGAACAGAAGTTAAAATTTATGAACTTATTTGGAAGTTTCGGGCCCATAATCTTAGTAATTGGGAAGGGCAGGAGTCCCAACAAAAGGAGAGAGAAAAATACCATCCTTAGGAATAGACAAGTGGGGAAATTTAAGCTGTACTTAACTGGAGTCCTTTGAACTCTGTTTAGTGGATCCAAGTATCATGACTCTTTTAATGCTCTGAGGCCTACATGAATTATCTTACAAAATGCCATAAAAATTTTAGATGCATTAGTATTACCAATCTGTACTGAAATCCATGTCATAGACAAAGCAGATAATGTGATCTGTAAAACAGCAGAAGTAGACTCAGACCTTTTATGAGTCCAAGCAAAAACTACAGATTTGGGTTAAAAGCATGTTCATTTTCCTTCTGATCAGAGAGCCAGGTATAGATTAGACAGAGATTTCTTTAGCATGATGGCAAGCACTTTTAAGTTTATATTTAGATGACAATCAAAATAAATCTAAAATGTTGAGCTTGTGAATGAACAGTAAGTAATCAATCTCTACCAGCTCATCAGAACTCTACTATATGTTAAGCTCTGACCTTTTATGTCATAGAAGCTGAAAGCAATATAAAACATTTCTCATAATATAAATCATTAACTTATATCTTCACAACTTGCATGTATATCTTAAATTATTTTTTGAGATCCTCAAAGCTTATAAGCTTTCATATCCTCAGAACTTTATATATCTTAAATAATTCTTAGACCTTTAAAACTTGCGTAGATTTTCATATCCTAAGACTTTTTTTCAGACCCATATTTCAAACTTTGACTTATTTAAACTTTCATATCTTAGAACATTTTCTTAAAGATGAACTAACAAGCTGGCTATAGCCTTGTAGAAGAACGTGCTTGTCTGATGCTGCCAAGCTGACAAAGTTATAGCCAGTCTAGCCATCAATATTATCAGAGATCTTAGAAGGATAAAATTATACCTGAATGCAGATGAAGCAGCTTCTGATTCTATTAAAAATGACAGGGACCAGTCCATTCCCAGTTAGCCACACCCAGGTCTCCATAGTTCTGGAGGCAGAAGTATCAAAACAGCATCAGTCTTGGGCTTCAAGTCCCATCAGGAGAGAATTATTCCTGTGAAATATGGACAAGGGGAAGACTGACCTTATTTGTCTAGGCCAAAGGGGTGTAATCAATTCCCCAGTGTCCTGCTGCTTATCCACAGCATAGGCCTATACTGTCTGGAGACAGGTGTTGCATCAGGGATTCTCACCTTGTGGTCAGCATTGCCATAATCCAAGTGGAGACATCATAACGCCCACAATCTTCTTTGGAGACCTTGAGTCACTGCTAGGATCTGGGAGTCTCTGTCTGATATAATAAGCTTTTTAATCAAGATTTTAAATGCCATATTCTGCAGATCTCTGAAGTATGAGGGCTGTCCAGGTATATCTGAATAGACAAACATTGTTTCTAGTGACTTGTTTTAAGTTCAACCCTGAAAACACTTGCAAGGGACTAAGTAAAGCTCATCCCTGTCATTAATTAAATCAGTCCCATAGCTTATAAATTTAAATCTTTTAAAAAGTGTTCTTAAAAAGGTTAAAATCTCTCAAATGTCTTCCTACAATATCAAAAATAAAGTACTCTACTCTCTTTTACTTCTAGAGGAAGAAAACATGGCATAACCATAATCAGTATAAAGCAAAACCAAGCTCCAAAATGCATACAATCCCCAAGTTGACATCTGGAATTCATTCACAATCCTTTGGATTGTTTAATTTAGAGGCTTGGCCTAAAACATTTCTTTGACCCCACCATTGACAGCATATACATAGCTTGCCTTCTGTGAGAGTCACCAGGACCTGTGGCTGGTCCTCAGCTGTCCTTCTGTACAGCACAGCCAATCAGAGGACAGCTTTTCTGGTCCTTTGTCCCTTGTCCATGTCCTTCTCCCTCTGCTTCCTTCCCCTGCCTTGAACCCATGTCTCCTCCCTGCTTTCCCTGCTCTGCACTCACCACGCCTCCCTTTTGTCTCCCTTTGGTCTCTAGCTTTCCCTGTGAGTGCAGGCTGGTGCCACCCTGCAGATTCAGCCTCAGGGTTGGAATCTCAGTCAGACTTCTGCTGCCTCTCAGGCTGCTGCTCTCCAGCTCTCAGATGCTCCTTTTACCTACTGGAGGGCTGAGCCCTTCTGAAAACCAGGGCACTTCCCATATGTGATTCATATACATGCTGGCAAAACAGCCATATACATGAAACATATTTAAATCTTTTTAAAAGAAATGCCAGTAGCTTTTCAGTCTCTGGTTAGATTTCATGCCTTTTCCACACTGAATTTTATCTGGCCCAAGCTTTGGTAGATCTTGTGCCTGCTGTCACAATCACTGTGAGTTCATTTGTGCAACTATCCTGATGTGTTCAGAAAATACTGTTTCTGTCACCTGGCTCTTATACAGTCTTTTGCCCTGACTCCCCTCTTTCTCAAAGATCCTTGAGCCGTGGGTAGAGGGGTGTGGTATGTCCTGATGAGGACTGAGATGGCACAGTCTCTTATTCTCAAAATGATGTAGGCCCCTTGAGTGACGCTGTTAATTGTCACCTGCTGCAAGGAGAAGCATCTCTGACAGGGTTGAGAGACACACAGATCTGTGGGGACAGCAGTGAAGTTGTTAGAGTCACTTTAATTCTGTGTCCATTAAGTAGAGGATGGGAGTGGATTTTCCTTAGGGCCTAAGATTTGACTACACACAGGTTCTTGGACCCTTTGAAAGTGCCAGGTATGGGTTCCATCTCATGGAATGGGCCTTAGAATTTTGACATTTTATTTATTTATTTTTAATATACATTTTTAAAATTTGTATGTGTATGGGTGTTTTGCTTGCACATATATCTGTGCACCACATTCATACTTGGTGCTCACAGAGGCCAGAAGAAGGTATCATTGTGGCTAGCCACACGAATATGTGGAATATAAGGAGTCTAGATGTATATAATAAGCTATGCCTTGGCTGGCCAAGGCTCTTTCAAGTGGGAAGCCATTTATCATGGAATATTTGGTGTTATTCAGCTTTTATATTCAGCTGCTCATTTTGATGAATTTCTTGTGCTCATAATTCTCATAGAACGTGTATGTATGAGCATCCTGCTTGGGCCAGTACTTAGATCATGTCACAAAGGCAGGGAATTCTGCCTCCGAGCTCCCTGCTCCCTTTTAGCATTTGAATTGGGTGTCTGCCTTTTGCAAATTTCCCCTTTAGGTAGGGGCAGCCTCAAACAAAGCACTGAAGGGCTCTCAGGGGACAGAATAGCTGAGACCATCTCTTGCCTTCAGGCCTACTGGCTCTCCAGAGCAATTGACTGAGAACAAAGGAGGTTTTTACATATCCAGGTACAGGGAAAAGTGGAACAGGATTCCTGGGAGACAGAAGGACATGGCCAGAGAGAAGGGAGGAAGATAGAGATTCTGTAGAGAGTAAGGCAGATCTCTTGTTGAGTTTTTTGAGAGCCAGGAGTAAAGAGCTAAGTAGGCGAGATGGAGGACAAAGGAACAGGATGAAGATGAGGTCAAAAGCATAGGAGCTTACTAAAACTATGAGGACAGGAAAAATAGGCACAGAGAGGTGGGGCCCCATCATCCTTCTGGAGACTTCAAATTCACATAACAGCCTCTATATTAAATGTCAAGGTTTAGACAGTGGTAGCACATGCCTTAAATCCTAGCATTCCAGAGGCAGAGATGCATCTGCTAGTTCAAGGCAACACTGTAAACAGAGCCAGGCAGCGGTGACAGACACCTTTAATCCCAGAGCTTGAGATCTCATGTCTTCATTGGGAAAGACAGATGCCTTTAATCCCAGGAAGTAATGACAGGAAGCAGAAAGGTACATAAGGCATGAAAACCAGAAACTAGAGGTTTTTTAAGCTTTTAGGCTTTTGAGCAGCAGTTCAGCTGAGATCCATTTGGATGAGGACTCAGAGGCTTCCAGTTGTGGAAACAGGATTGGCTGAGAAGTAGGACAGGTGATGTTAGCTGTGGCTTGTTCTGCTTCTCTGATCTCTCTAAGGCTTTAACCCAAATTTCTGTCTCCATGTTTTTTATTTAATAAGACCATTTAGAAATTAATCTACAGAGAGGAACTGAATGTGAGGATGGGGCTCAAGCTGTATAGACAGAATTTTGTCATAGAGGAATAAAGTAAATGGACAAAGAACTTGGTGAATCTAGATTCATTCCCCCGACAATTGTAGCAATTCTTTTGGGCCCCTGGGAAGAATATTGTTAAGGCTGGTCCATGGATAATATTCAAGATGTCATATCCTCTGGAACTGGAGTTACAGGTGGTTGTGAGCCACTGTGTGGGCACTGGGAATTCAAACACAGTCTTCTACAAGAGCAGCAAGTTGTGTTAACTGCTGAGCCGTCTTTCCAGACCCTTGACATTTCAGATACAAATATACTAAGTAAGACTCTGAAAAGTTCAGATTTGTTCAAGACCCATGTTGAACACACAGCTAACACAAGGCTGGAGTCCAAGTGTGACCTGAAAGCCCATGTTCTGAATTCTGATGAAGACTATCATTTCAGATGCTTTAAGCATAAGAATCCAGAAATCTGGCTTGTAAAACATCAGGATAGGTTGACTTAAAGGGACTCTCAAGTTGTCCTTTGTTCTCTTTAGGCCCTAAAAAAATTAAAATTCCTGAAAGCAAGGCCTCAGTGACCACTTACCCGTGGAGAAGGAAATTAAAATCATACCAAAGTGCCCTGCTCCACCAGCTCCACATGGGGCTTGTCCATTGGAAAAGGAAGGAACTGGACCTCATGAGCCCCTGACATAAGAGGCAGCAAGTTTCCCCCCTGAAGATGATGGTTCCAGTGACCTGGACTTGGAACAACTCATGGAAGACATTGGAGAGGCAGAGGAGAGAGGGGAGTCGCAGCAGAGGGATGGCTCAGAAGAGTTCCATGCGGGCCTGTTTGAGGAGTAGTGTGCTCTGGACCTTCTACTGCTGACTGCCTCTCAGTGATCCTGAGCAGATGTTGAATGTCAGGGTTGGTGACCTGCTCCAGGCTTCAGGTCAGAGCTGTGCATCATGGGTAATAAAGCAGGTCTCTAGGGCCCCTGCTTAGGCTATGCTTCCTTTCATGTCGCTATGGCAACCTGCCTTCTCTGGAGGGTATAGGAGGCTGGGGACAGCAGCAGGACCCAGGCCTGGGGAACCTTCAGAAAAGCATCTCTGTTAGTCCTGATCCCCTTTTTTCCTGGTAGTGACATGGCCTTAGGAAAGCATTGTGACCATCTGGTGTTTAGTTCCCTGTCTCACACCATCTATCTAGGGTTGTTGCTGATGTCCAGTGTGGTGGTCCATGGGAACCAGTCACAGTGTGTGCTGGTTATTACCCTCCCAGATGTGGGTGTACATTGTGTAGACTGGCTGCCAGCATTTGGGGCATTCCCTGCCTTGGGCAGCCAGAAAAAAAGTGATAGAGGAGAGGATCTTAGAGGGTCACAAGTTATGGGTCACATGAATGACTCTTAATTAGATTCATTAGGCAAATTATGTGGATTGTTTTATTTTTGTGAGAAAGGTTCAGAAAGTTAGAAAAGGGAACTGGGAATTTCTGATTTTCTCTGAGCTCAAATGCCCTGACATGTGGATTTCTGTCTCTGGCCATGGGTATCAGTGACCCATGAGTTGTTGTCTCTGGCTGTGGGTATCAGTGGAAGCTGGGAGTCTTCCCACTAGAAACACAGGTGACTCTGAGATCGTCACTCAGACCCACTCATTTGGCCTTTACGATGGAGTACACAGTCTCTTCCTGGAGGTTCCCATGGACGGGTTGGCAGGGTGGTGTTCCTGGGGAGGCTGGGCTTGAGAGGGGAATGGAGGCGTACATGATGTTGTTATCCTGCGGGGACAAGAGGTTGGATGGCAGCAGTGCAGCTGTGGCCACCATAAAGCAGCAGCTGCAGCCTGAGTGTCCTGCCACACCTGCAGCAGCTGCAGCCTGAGTGTCCTGACCACACCTGCAGCAGCTGCAGCCTGAGTGTCCTGCCCACACCTGCAGCAGCTGCAGCCTGAGTGTCCTG